ACATCCTGTTTCGAAGTGTTAATGAGAACCACATTTTCATGAGCATGAAGCAAACTATATATATTTGACTGAAGTTAGCTCATGCCATGCTGATGTTTACACATGACAGGCATACCAACATCCAGTTCTGAAGGTAACAGAAAAGCACAATTTTACAATGACGGACTCTAATGTTATAAAGGCGTCTACAGTCTATTGATTCACAAGAAACGATATAAAGTTGAAAACTGTTACCTTCTCCCATTTATTCTGCAGATATCCTGCAGCAGCCTTAATACCGACAACTGACAAAATAGATTCCTCCCTAACAGTGAGTAATTCAACAAATTTGATCGCAAGAGTTTTTCGTTACAGAAAGCAGCTGGGTACATCAAACATGCAAGTTTCCCTGACTCTTCATGACGCTGCAGTGGAAAAAAAATACAAACATGAGCAAATTGATAAGAACAGGTGCATGAAAAATGCATAAATTCATTTGTAACAAATAGGAACATAGGCACAAATGCATGTCCTTTGCAATTGATAGGGCCGTAGGAATTAGTCCTACATACATCAGCAGGTGCCGTGTATAAACTTCCAAACACCAGTACACAAAAGTTTAATAATCTAAGGTCTAATAACAACCAGACCTACAAGGCTGTCAAGAGTTAGCACTATTGCCTACCGTCATTACAGAATACAGAGCAAGGAATTTTAACTCCTAGTATAAACATGTGATTTCCCTGTCTTAGAAAGACAATGTCAGAATACATAAAGCACACTGTCCACCAGTTAGAGGCAGTGAAGAAATACATAGTGAACACGAGTATTGAATTCTACAAGTACCAACAAAACAGAAAATCAAGTGCCAGTGCACAGTACACTAGGAGGACGCCACAATGACAATGGGTCAATGGGTTTAAACACTTCTTTATACCCAAACTGAAGACACACTTACCTTGCCTGTCCTGCCGTCAGTCAGATTTCAACTTTGGAAACACAATTGCCAGTCTACAACCTGTAAGCCAGAATTCTGACCGTAGCAATATTTCCTTAGATAAGATAACTTGAGTAAGCGATTTCATCGAACACATTGAGCTCACTGCACATCATCGAGCGGAGTAACAGCTATGAACTGACCACAGACCTAACAGGTTAACAGCCAACTACCCACAAAAGGACGACCGTCCAGATTCGATTACTCGACCCACCACACACAAAGATTACTAAGCTAAAACTCGCAGCTCGAATCCAATCCGCCTCCGCGTTAGAAATCAAGAACAGGAACAGACAATCCCGACGCCGCCTTCAAATCCCAACCAAAGGATCCAACAAAAGAAGAAACTCACCCGCAGGGGGCAGGCGCCGGGGGAAAAGGATAGCGCGCGGAACCGTGGGGAAACAAGAGGATAGCAGACTTACGTGGAGAGCGAAAAGAAGAAGCAGAAAGCGCGCGGCGGGGGCTTTTTGTCCGTTTGTCAGGTCGATGGACGCCACAAGAGAGGTTTTTCTCACAGAGGGATCTTTAGGCGGCGTTTTTTCTTTTGGATGCCCAGCGCCCCTCGCCAGGTCTGGCTCTGGCTCCCCTTCTCTCCGGTCCCGGCGTTGGGGGTTTGAGGGAAAGAAGGAACTGGAGAAAGCGCGGGGATGGCGGGGGCTGGCTTTGTGTCCGTTTGCTTAGCTTGTTGGAGGCCGCAAGATGAATCAGGCCATGGGAAGCCTCAGAAAGCTCAATGGAGACCACCGTGGACCGTCACGGGAGTCGAGTACTGCGCGCTCGCGTTCGCTCCGGCTTCCAATACTCGTCCTCGTTGTGATCCCCAAAAAAAGCCCTGTGTAATTCTATATTCTTGTGCTCAAAACAAATGTTATTTTTTAGATTTAACTAACTTCATAAAAATAGTGTCAAAGAATATTTATGTCTCTATAAAAATAAATTACTGTAAAAAATGGGAAGCCTCATTCTAGAATTAATCTTTATTAGGTATAATAGATGTTAATAAATTTTATAGAGATTTTATTCTATAAATTTAAAAATAAATTGTTTTTATTAAATTTAAAATTGTTTGATTTCCTAAAAAGATGAGAGTACCATCGCTTTGCTTTCTTTCAAAGGACAGTGTGTCAGGTGTCTCCTTCAGTTCACGATATTCTGCAAATTTCTCCGAATAATGCCCGTTTTATCCATGGTGTTTTTTCATAAAAAGTCCGTTCAACCTTTTTGAGTTAAAAACAAAAAAAAATCTTTATATTATTTAAATCCATAAAACAGGAATACGCAACCTTTCAAAATGGTGTTCAAAGAAAACATGGTGAAGTGACATGATTTTATAACACAATGGGCTATCACATCAGCGTAATGTATCACCAATCGTCTTCCCACTGTGCAGATTTGTCATATGCTCTCTCCATCGATCGGAGAATACAATTCCAAGATAGTGTCAAAGTTAAATAACTCAAATTTAACTAATTTTATATAAAACTATTAATATTTATAATATACGAGTAAGGTATTAATGGATTCATCATAAAATATTTTTTTTGGTATATCTATTTAGAGTTATGTTGATAATGATTTTTATTCATCTAAATAGTTTAAATTTAACGATTTAAAACTACATCTCTCTAAGACAGAAGTAGCAAGAAAGCTGATATGAACAGAACCTAGTGTTTAAGAGCTAAAATATCAAATTTTACGGGATACTTTTTAAATCTTAAATTATCAAGTTTCAAATGAAGATAGTATATATTATTATTCACGAACTCCTATATAGAAGAACGCCTCATAGTTGCTTTCACGATATCAATAGCATATATAAAAATCTGTTCGGTTCAAGATCATAATCCTTTAATTAATTAATTGCCACGATGATTGATGATGAGCAAGCAACCTGGGATCATGCCTACAGGCAACATCTACTTAGAGCATCTCTACCATTAGCCCATAAATTAGGGCCTCTAGTTTTGTTTTTTATGACTTTTACCTTTAAATATTTTTTTCAAAGGCTCAACTCTAGCAGTAAACCATAAATTAAAGTTTCTACTTTCTTATGACACGTGGAACTTCGTATGTAACTTACATAACTTTTTTTTATTTATTTCATATTCTCCTTCCATATCTCGACCCCCCCCCCCCAAAGGTCCCCATCTGGCTACCGCCTCTCAGACTCCTTCGTCGCCACCTCCTCATCGTCCTCCTTCATCTTTCAAAACCTTGACCGCAAGGGCAACTCCTTCGATGCTGACCTCGGTCGCTCCTCCTCACTCGTTACAACTGAGCTACACCATCGCTCCATCTACCACTGTCGGTCGAGGAGAGCGGGCGGCTAGGTGGGAAGGGCAAGCTCAAGGAAAGGAGTGCCGATAGGGTCCATGTAAAGTTGCATTGGTATGGTGGGATGGGCGTGCTAGCAAAGTGGGCAGTTGGGGAGGTGGCATTCATGGGAAAACGACCGAGCAGGGTGGGTCTCAAGTGGTCGAGAGTGGGTGAGATGGTCGAAGATCCTTAATCCCTCGAGCAAAGGAGGGAATGGACCAGGGGGGATAGGGATTCTATTCCGACAAACACTGAGGGATAGAATCGGCGATGACGAGGACAGCATACGAGAGAGGCACAAGGGAAATCACACCAATGAGAAAATAAAACAAAAAATCGGTGCCCAAAAGAGACCCATGAATGACGGCTTTGGGGAATTTGAGGCCTCTAAGTACTGGAGTTGTTCTTACTACTTTTGCTTTGTCAACATATTTGGCCTCCCACTCCTAGTTACGTCGAAAATACTGGAAAATACATGATAGCATGACTAGGAAGCTGATGATATATATGAAGCTGTCGACGATCATGATTACTCCAATTTGAGAGTGAGAGCGGAGAGCAAAATGGCTTCTTTTTTAAAAGAGTTCCCACGTGATCTTTTTGAATCGAAACAACTCCAAATAGCCCATGACACAATACATTTACCTTGAGAATTAATCCTACATATATACATCAAACAAGTTTTTTTTTGGTGGAGGATGCCGGTTGTGATTTGGGAGATTATCTCTCTGTAACTACTGCCCAAGCGCTACCCAAATCTTAGATGACAAAAATAACCTTGCTGATAAAGTTAATTAATGCAGAGCACACGGATGCAGAACCGGCACGTTGTCTGGTCGGGTCGCCCATACATGAAGCGAACAAGGCAAGTTTATGCTTGACAGCAACAACACACATAGTATGTAATCTACCTCACGGGTCACGCCGTCACGGCCAAGTCATGCCATTTGTTTATGCAAGATACTGTTCAGATGTTCAGGCTTGAGAGGCGTGCTCATGAATACTAGTACAAGGCACGGACCGTTTAATTGGCTGATGGGCTCTGATGATATCGCAGCCCATGTTCCATCCATTCAGAATTTACATAATCGGCTTGTATGAAACAATTGATTGAAGTCGGCAGTGTCCAATGCAGACTGGTTACAACTTACAATTACGTCATGTAAATGACAACAAGATGTCACAAGAGACTGAATGTTGAAACCGAAATTAACTTGCTCAACTAATTTATTCAACCCAGGACTGGATGGAAGTACAATGCCCTATGAAAGTCTGAATCGAGATCTGAAGCTTAGTTCTGCATAAAGCTACTGACAGTAGCACATTTCTTTCTGATCGTGACCTTGAGGAGTGAGGACAATGTGGAAGTTAAAATAAACGGAGAAGCCAGAGCTACAAATCCTGAAATCATCTAGGATCCTTAAAAACAGCTTAGTCGACTTTTCTTAATATAGATCACGAGACTCTCCTACATACAATTTACCTCAGCATAATTGCCCTGTTCGTTTGGCTGATAAGCCATGGTGAAAGTACTGTTGACTGATTTATTATGAGAGAAAAATATCTTTTGTTGGCTGAAAAAATACGGCTTATAAGCCAAGCGAACAGGACGAATGAATACTGAACCCAGATCACAAATCCTAATAACAACAAGAACATCTTCAGCACGCAATTAGGCACCCAATTTTCGTCCTCTTCCAAATTATCACTCTTGTCCTCTCGCCACAATCTTGTACTTGCCTGTCACTTGTTGCTGCAACAACAGAAACACAAACCGAGACAGAAAAAAAATTTCGTCACGATGCTAAGCCCTCGTTTAGTTCGGCGCGGAATGGGCGCCGTCAGAGTTACTGTAGCCACAGTAGCTACTGTAGCGTTTCGTTTGTATTTGGTAATAATTGTTCAAACATTGACTAATTAGGCTCAAAACGTTAAATCTCGTAAGACAACCAAACTGTGCAAATTTCGTCAAATTTAGTTTCGTCACGATGTTTGATGTGAATGTCTTCTTTTTGCATAATGCCAAATTCTGGAAATTGGGGGAACTAAACAGGCCCTAAATGTCAGCGAACTAATTAGTAAATGTCGTTATTATTTTACCTTCTCCCATAGCTCGGTGTGCTCTCTGCAGAAGCCGGCGACGATGGCGCCGCCCTTACCCTCCTGGTACTCGATGCAGAGGCCGGCGCCGAGGCCGCACGAGATGTGGAAGCCGAGGCCGCACTTGGGTTGGGAGCACTCGAGGGCGCACCCTTTGTTGCCCTCGCAGATGTAGCAACCCTTGGCGAACCGGTGGGCGGGGACGCGGGAGCAGTCGATGCCGTCACGGCCGTCGGGGTCCCGGAAGAACACCTCCGGCACGAGCAGCCGCACGAGATGTGCGCCCACTTCCCCCTCCGTCGTCGCCTCATCGCACGCCCGCCCGGCGGCGGCGGCGAGCAGCACCGGCGGCGCACCGCCGGCTTACTCTTCTTGGTGATGCAGAGCGAGCAGAACCAGTCTCCGTCGGGGATGGCCTGCGCGAGCGGGTTGCCGTAGCAGGATGCGTGCACCATGAGGTCGCACCCGTCGCAGAACACGATGGGGTCCGACGGGTCGCCGTCGGTGCTCGCGCACACGGAGCAGAGCACGCCATCGTCGTCCTCCACGGGCTCTTGCTCTTCCTCTCGCTCTTGTGCCACTTCATCAGCCCCATTCCTCGGCTCTTCTTTGGGTGATGCTCCCTTCGCATCAGGCGCTTCCTCGGATTTCTTGCGAACTTCAACCACAGCTTCAGACTGCTCGCCATCGACGACAGTGGCGGACCCAGATTTTTGCATAGTACGCGTGGAAAAAAAAATTCTTATACAGTTCGGTAAAATCATATTATAATTTGGTAAAACGACGTTAAATCTTAATATAAATTGTTCAAATAAAATACAAATACTTCGAAATGTAACAATAGGAGATTTACAATATTACTTGTTTATCCGTCGCTTTCTCAATGACATAAATGTCTCCATTATATCATCTTTATTAACTTGGAAGAAAATATCCCGCTCAATAAATGTGACTAGACAATCATCTAAAATAGTATCACATATCTTATTCCTTTGTCTTCACTATAACCAATACAGAAAATACCCTTTCAACACTCGCAGTTGCCACCGGTAAAAGCAATATCAATTTGAGAAGCAAGTACACCATATCATACACTTTGTACCTCTTTGTTTCAACAAGCTTAACTAAGAGATCAACAATGTTGTCTAGACCTTGGAAGCTAGCATCTTGTCGCATGTCATCAATATAATTATCAAGTTACAATTCAAGTTTTAACAAATCATTGTTGGAGAAGTCCTTAGGATAAAATTCAGCCAATCTACTTACCTTCCGTGCATCAAAAGAAGTAAAGGAGTTGGAAGGACTGAAGGCTGACATACAAGAGAGTAGCTCTATATTGATCTTATCAAACCGATTATCAAGCTCTTGACTAATTTGATCAATGACATCAATGTATACTTCTTTTCGAAAATGGTCATCATTTGTTTGGTTTCGGGCACGAGCATACCGTGCTAATTTTCCATAAGGCACATAAGCACCATCCATAGCAGAAACTTCAACACCATGTTTAATACAAAAAGAAGTGACTTTCTGAAGAAAATTATCTCAACCATTAGACCTCAACTCCTGCATTCTGCTCTTTGCCACATTAACAAGTGAGATTGCATTAAGAATATCTTGATCCCTTCTCTGCAAGCACTCGGATAACTCATTTGTATATCAAGAATAACATACATTAAGTGCACAAAGAAAACAAACTCAAAGGTTTCAAATGCTCCAAGCATAAAATGTATCTTTGTCCAATCTTCCTTATATGCATTATCAGCACTAAGTTCAATGAGCACATCATGAATTGAGGAATATACAGTGATGATGCTACATATAGTTTTTTAATGAGAGCCCCATCGAGTGTCACTAGGCCTAGGCAAACCCATCTCTTGATTTAATCCACTCCCTGATTCAAGCTCACCACACTCTAGTGCTTTCTTGACATTCTCAAGCCCTGCAGTCAGTATTTCCTTTGGCAACAGCAACAAGAACTAGTTGGAGTTGATGTGCAAAGCAATGAATATAATAAGCGGAAGGTGATTCTTGCATGATTAAAGTTTTGAGCCCTTTAATATCTCCTTTCATATTGCTAGCCCCATCATAACCTTGACCTCTAATCTGCTGGATACTCAATCCATTACTAACAAGTAAAACTTCAATTGCTTTCTTAAGTGACTAAGAGGTAGTATCATCTACATGAACAACTCCAATAAAGTGCTCACATGGCCTTGATGCAAATTGCATAGGGCTCATCATCAAGTTCCTCAATTATTTTCTTTCTAGTTTCTATGGCACAACAGTGAATAATTTGCTTTTATATTTTTGGGCTAGTCAAAGTGCAATTACCTGGTGCATTGTTCAAGACATACTTGTTCACTTCTTCACTATTTCCTGCAAGAAACTTTAAAAGTTCAATGAAGTTGTCTCTATTGCTAGACTCTTCACTTTCATCATATCCACGAAATGCCAATCCTTGATGCAAAAGAAACTTGATACATCTAAGTGAATATGTCAATCTTTTCTTGTAAAGACGAAGCTCCTCCTCACTCCACTTGTCAATGTTATAATCAATTGCTACCTTGGGATTCATAAAACCAATGTACCTCTCTTGAGCTGCTTTATGTGCCCTAGAACCGAATGTTTGAGAAGTCTTTGTGTTTCCTATATTCCAATTATTCCATCCATCAACAATAAAAGTTTTTGACCCACCGCCTTCTTGAACAAGTAGCATATGAAGCAAAATGCGAGAATCCTTCTTGACACTATATTCAAGCCACTCATAATTATACAACCATTGTATACTTGAATCGACGAGGTACGCCTCAATGTTTCGGTATGGAAAATCATGTATATAAGGTTTGCAAGCACCTTTAGTAATATATGCTCTCTGATTGCATCTTGATCATTAACGGGATAATCTTCAATGGGCAGCCTTTCACCTGGATCATATGGTAGGCGATTGATGTCATACGCCAACGGCTTTGATGCGGTGGTGGCGGTGATGCTAAGCGAGGCGAGGACAAATGAATCGCAATTTCTTCAACTTGTACTCTATCTTCTTCTTGATTCTGCTCTTCCACAATATTTTCATCCGAAGGTGGGTCAATAGCAGCCGCCTTCTTTGCTGCTTTCTGAAAAGGGATCGAATGTCTCTGTTTTTTTTCATAATTGAAGACTCAAGAGTTCTAGAAAAAACACTCGTCAATTAGCAAAACTAACGATCGGAAGAAACACGGCCGAGGAAGGACGGGAGTATCACCGAGGAGAAGGGACCACGAGGAATCCCTACAGAGGAAGGGCGGCGATCGAGGCTCCTACGGTGATGGCGATGCCGATGCGCCGATGGCGGCAGTCCAGACTCGACGGGGCCACAGGATCGGCGACAGTCTAGGCGACGCGCTATCCAACCTACCTTCGATTGATTTGGAGCTGGGCCGGCCCAGCTGCACGCGCACGGGAGGGAATCCGCTCTGCGTGACCGCGTCAGTTGCGAATACGAAGGGCACCGGACGCCGGACGGCTTGTTTTTTTTTATTTTTTATTTGTATTATGTATGGTTGACGGGTGGCCCACAAGGTGGTCGGTGGACCACACTGACCACCCACTAGGTCCGCCAATGATCGACGATCTTGCAGGACTTCTCCAGACCTTTACCTTTACGTGGTGGAGACCTTGTTTCATGGACACCTGCTCCTTGGTTCCCTTATGATTGATGGGCTTCTCAGGTTTCTTCAACTCATTGCCTCTCGCGCGTTCTTCAGTGCGACTTGCCACTCTAGAATTGATGGCACCGCCGCCGCCGTGCTTACTGGATCCTTGAGGCCTGGCTTCTTTGGCGGCGACTAATCGAGCACCATCTGACTGCGCGGATGGAGGTGGCATCACGCGCTTGTTGACCGGCAGGCAAACCGGGGCAGAACGCGCGGCGTCCTCCCGATGAGCCGGCGAGTGGGGGTGCTTCTTAGCCGAGACGTAGGTAGAAGCAACCGTATCCACCGGCGGCGCGATGCAACCGCGCCTGTTGGGTGGCAGGCACGCCGGAACAGAACCGGCGGCGTCGCCCCGAGCCGCTGGGCCGGAACGCACGCTGGCACGGCAGCATCCGCCGGCGCTGCATAGGCGCGCTTCTTGATGGGGAGGCACGCGGGCGCCGTGTCCTCCGTTAGTGGCGCCAGGATGGATCTTTTCTTCGCTGGGAGGCAGAACGGGGCGTCCACCACCCTTGCACCCGCGGCGCCACGATTGCTCTTTTCTTCACCGGGAGGCAAACAGCGACGGATGCCTCCTCCGACGGCTATGGCGGTGGCAACACGCGCTTCTTGGTCGGCAACAGCACGCTGGGAGTCGATCCGAGGTGGGAGCCAACGTGCCTGAATCGCTTCGATGGCGGCAGGTCGCGGACGCTGCCGCTCGCAATGCCGTTCTTGGAGATCTCCATGGACAACCGGCGGATGGCGAGACGGATGAGCTCAAAGATTAGGGAGTAAGCCAGAGGAGGAGAAGACTTTTCTGAGTGCGGGAATTCGAACGGAGGGAAAGGACGAGGGTTTAAAGATCGCGGGAGCCCGAAAGTTTTTCGGGGTTGGGTGTTGAACGGCCAGAAGCAGAGGGGGAGAGCGCGGCTCGGTGGGAAGTCAAAATCGAAAGGGGAGGCGACGACGTCTCTCGTTTTGGGTTTGAAATTTCGAAATGGGCGGAGTGTTTCTGCCGCGGGGCATCGGCGAACTGCGGTTTGCGGGGAAAATTTCATGTTTTCATTTGGGATGAGAAGAAGCATGTGGCGGCGCGGCGGCGAAGTGGCACCAACCAGTGGCCCCTACGCGCGCCAGATTGGGGAATTGCGAATCGAGCAGGAGCAGTTGATTAGGCCTGATTACTCCAAAAAAGAAGTCTTGGGCTTTTCTATCGGCCGGCAACCCACGTACAGTAACGGGTGTTATTATGAACTAGTTACGATATGCAATTTCTAAAAAAAAGGTAATGTTACGACGTCCAGAATCTTAAAAAAAGGAGGTTCTGCTCCACGCTCGCTCCAGCACAGTGGCCGGCCCAATAGGCCCATCTACGCTTTCTCTATCTACTCTTCTATATCTATACTGTGACGACCGACAGAAATCCCCAACTCCTCGCTTCACTCCTCGCGGCTCACTGCGCCATCCGCCCGCCCAAAACCGCCTTGTGGCGGCGCCTCCATCTTGCGTCGAGCCACGCCACGTCTATCGCCGCACCATGGTCCATCCCCTGCCGCGCCCACTCCGCCTCGTCATGACGTGACCCATCCTTCGTCGCGTCGAGGTGCTGCCGACGCCGCCGTTCCCCACTAGGAGGTCATGGCCGTTGTCGACGCCGGTGCCGCCGCAACGCCAGACCCAGAGCGGCCTTCTCTGGCTGCACCTCGTGCTTCCTTCTTCCTTGCAAGTGTATGTTTCAAGTGTTTGGTGTTTCATATGCATGTTGCAAGTGTTTCATGTGGATGTTGCAAAAGTAGATCGGGATGTTACATATATTGCAATGGCTATACATGTATGTTGCAAGCGTTTATTTCAAATGTTTCAGACGGATGTTACACGTGTTTTATCTGGGTGTTGCATAGGTTTCATATATATGTTGCAAGTGTGTTTATCTGTGTGTTGCATATGTTTTACACTTATGTGGTAAGTGTTTCATCCAGATATTGCATATATTTTCAACATGTGTTTCCCTCGTGTTTCATACGTATGTTGCAAGTGTTTTTAACTGTTTCGAACGTATGTTGCAAATGTTTTCTCTAGATGTTGCAAAAGTAGATCTGGTGTTACACATGTTGCAGTGGACCCGCCTGCTGCAATTGCTGGGCTCGCCTGCATACGCGTGGGTGCGAGCGGCAGGCGCGGGAAACCGTGCGGGCGCAGACAGAGCGGGCACGGGACACGGAGCGACGTGAGACCCCATGTGAAGCAGGCGTGCAGCGCGGGCGTTCGGACGTTAGCCCTCGTCCGGACGTCCGGACGCTAGCCTTCCAAAAAAAAACTTAGGGCCCCTTTGGATCGTGGGATGTTTTCGTGTTTCCTACGTTTCCCCGTGGAAATGAATTGATTACTATAAAATTCCTACATGATTCCTGTTAAATTCATACGTTTAAAAGGGGACCTTATGATACGGAATCCAGGGACTCCTCTTTCGCAGATTTCTCTGAGTTTCCCTGTGGTTGTGGTTCAATTATTTTAGTCATGCCCCATTTGGAATGGAGGATCCTCAAAGGAATTTCAAATGAACTAGATTCCTATGGTTTGATGACGTCGCTGCCGTTTGGATCACAGGAAGAGAGCTTGTCGTTCCTATGGAAAGGGTAGCATTCCTCCACAAAACACAGGAAGCAAAACATTCACTCCGACTTGAAGTTTTCGCGGAAGCCCAAGACACATGTGCGTGTCAGTGCATGCCAGAGAGAAAATGGAGGTGGGCAAGGGGAACAGCAGGCGATGGGGTTAGACGCTGATTGTTTTTTAAACCTTTAGATATAGTAATTAGTACCCATATTTGTCTAACATGTTACAATTCCTATGTTATAAATTCCTGTGTTTCAAACAGCCTAAAATTTTCTGTTCCTGTGTTTTGAAATCTTGTAGTTTTTCACTTTTTATCATACCTTATTCCTGCGTTTTTTCCTATTCCTACATTTTGGATTTCTTCGTTCCAAACAGGCCCTCAACCATTCGTTGGCCCCGTTCGGCTTGCTGAAACTGGCTGAAAATATTGTTCTGGCTGAATTGTTGTGAGAGAAAAACACTATTTCGACTGAAAAAACAAACTAAATAGTGTGGATTATAAGGGAAGCTGAACGGCCCAATTTGTTGTTACTTTACTCTGTGGTTCGTTGCTAGGTCTTGTAGGTTCCACCAGCCCCGAGTTTTTTTTTTTAATCACAAGTACGCCCGTATATATTACGATGTAAGGAAACAGTACAAAGACACGTACAGATATAGACACATACGCAAAGGATACCGGGGAACAGCTTCCCCAACCAAATCTCACAAGTTGTTTCGAGTATGTACATTTTGCCATGAGATGGGTATGGGATGGACCCCTCTGCCGGCAATTGGGTTTCCCTAGCCTCCCCGCCTGATGCGATCCACTATTGGCAGAATGGCAGCCTCGAAGCCAAGTGAAAAAAAAACTGACATTTTGGCTCCATGTTTAGTTATCTGGCCCAATCACAATCAGCAAAGGAGCCAATGAAGTATGAAACGTGCACTGTATGCTGGCTTCGCCAAGCACATGCCAAGTGATGTCTCTAGTAGTGTTGGTCCATAATTCAGTGAACTGGTGTAGGCCTCGCATCCAGAGCAGATGTTGCAGAATAAGACCATAATGCACGTGCTAGAGCCACCGATAGGAGCATACTTATCGCCTATCGGCGTAGTTACTTTATTGCGCCATCTACTTGTACCTACTCCTGCAACCGGCGGCGACCTTATCGTTAGCTCCGGCTACGTTAGCACCTCGGACCACGGTGCCGGCAGCACTCTCCTGAGTCATGAGTCCTGACCGGCCTATAGTTTTCCAAACGGGCCAGGCCCGCTGGGCCGGCACGGGCCTGGTGCGAAAAAGCATGGCACTGGCCCGGTGCGGCACGGCTTGGCCCGTGTCAGTGCCTGGCACGGCCCGCTCCAATGAGCGGCACAGGGGTGGCACGGCTGCCAGCCGTTGATCCCCTCCCCCCGCTCGTAGCCGTTGGATCCTCCCGTGGGGGCAGGAGGGCTATATAATCCTCTCCGCCGCGGTCGCTCCCCTGGCGCTGGAACCCTAGCTCATTCTCTCGTCGCTCTCCTCTCTCCTGCCGGTGGAAACCCTAGCCTCTCTCTCTTTCTTCTCGCCCTCCGGTGGCTGGTTGAGCCACCGGTGCCCGGCATGGGCACACGGCACGGCCATCTTTACCCCTCATCTTCATCCCTAAACGTCGATTGAGCCTCGCCCTCCGCATCTTGGCTGCATCAGAGTCTCCTCTCCGTCGTCGACCTCGTCGACCGCTGGCACCTCTAGGGCTCCGGTAAGTGGGTTGCACCCTTAATCTCTCTCAGATCCGGTTGTTTTGAGACTTATAAGCATGTTTTAATGGTTTGGTTTGTTTGTTTCCGCAAGTCTTTTGCCGAGGCGAAGCCGTCAAGGTACCAGGGGGCCGGATCAATGCGTCATTGACCTCTCCGGCGTCTTTGGTGCTCCGGCGTAGAGGTGAGCCCCCTATTGTCAAACCCTAAACCCTAGCTCATCTCTGATCTTTGCTCTTTGTTATGATATTTAAGTTTTGCTTGGTTTTTTGGTAGCCGTTGAGGAACCTCGTAACCTAGGCTCCTCGATGCCGTCACCATGGAGTCTTCCGGCGGGTAAGGGGTCAGTTCCGGTGGCCGGTGGTTCCGTCTTCTCCCTCTCCGCCCTCAATCTCCCTCTTCCCCTCAGATCCGGTGGTTCCCGCCCTCAATCTCCATCTGTTCCCTTATTCTTCATCCCTGAACGTCAATTGAGCCTCGTTCTCGGCATCCTCGCCGCATCTCCATCATCTGTCCATCGTCCACATCACTGGCTGCCGCCACCTCTGGGGCTCCGGTCTCCGTTGAGGTACCGGGGGTGTGCAATCGGTCCGTCTCATCGTCGTCGTTTACGGGGCTCCGGCCGTAGAGGTAAGGGTAAACCCTAACCCTAACCCTAACCCTAATTCCCAACCTAACCCTGCTTTTATCTGTTGATTGTGGCAGCCATCGAGGAACTGGAGACGGCAGAGATGGCCCCAGGCATCGGGCGACAAGACGACGGGGAGTTTGACCACTCCTAGAACGAGGAGTTGCGTATGTGCGGAATGGCCGGAGATGATGAGGATGATGATGTCCACGAGGACGCTGCCGTGCTCTTCGGCCGTTCTGCTGCTGATCCCCTTCCCGTCGACGACTCTGACCCCCCAGTCGACGTGGCTGATGCCGACGGTGGCCAGAGCGAGGTTAGCCCTGTCGGTTCTAATCGCCCTTCCACGTCTGCTGTTTGGGAGGACTTTGAGAAGCACTACAAAACTGAGAAAGGTAGAAAGATCAGGTTTGCTGCCACTTGCCTTCATTGCCATAAGCGCTACTCTGCTTATTCTGCTCATGGCACTGGGCATCTTATTCGACATCTTGCTAAGTGCCCTAAGAAACTTGAGAAGATCCGGGGCATGACTCAGACTCATATTGCTTTTAATTCTGATGGTTCTGTTCGTCGTTGGGAGTACAGTGCTGAGGTAGCTCATGTTGAACTTGTTCGTATGCTTGCTAGATTAGACCTACCTCTTATGATTGGTAAAACTGAGGCATTTAAAGATTATATTAAAACTACTCATAACCCTAATTTTTCACCTGTCTCTAAGCAAACCACTGGTAGAGATCTGTTTAAATACTACAATGAGAAACGTGATAAACTGATGGTCTGTTTAAAGGATAATGTTGTTTCATCTGTTGCTATTACCTCTGATATATGGTCTGAAAAGGCTAAAGAAGATTATTTATCTGTTGTGGCTCATTTCATTAATGCTGATTGACAATTAGAGAAAAGGGTACTTGGTTTAAGGTTGATTGATGTGTCCTATAATGCTGAGAATATTGCTGAGTGTGTTGCATCTGTCCTTGCTGAGTATGGTATACTTAACAAGGTTTTTTCTGTAACTTTGGATAATGCATCTGCAAATAAAAATGCTATGGATAAACTGAAACCTATACTTAAAGAATATTTAGGTTCTGATCTGTTTTTGCATCAATGATGTGCTTGTCATATTATTAACCTGATTGTGAAAGAAGCACTGGCTGCTGTGAATCCTCTCATTGAGGATTTTAGAACAGCAATCTCTTTTATGAACTCCTCTAATCAAAGAATTGCTGCATATAAGAGTTATTGCATTGCTAGTGGTGTTAGACCTAGAAAGTTTAGATTAGACATGGATGTTAGATGGAACTCTACCTACCTAATGTTTAAGCACTTGCTGCCTCACAAGAGTACTTTTAGTACTTTCATTGAGGCCAATTACCCTAGAGGTTTAGGTAGTGGTTTCCTTTTGACTGATGATCACTGGACTATGGCAAATAAAATCTTGAAATTTCTTGAACTGTTCTATGACTCAATTGTTGATTTGTCTGGTGTTTGCTATCCTACTTCTTCACTTATGATTCATCGTATCAACATGATGAACATCTAAGATCTGTTATCCAACCTATGATTGACAAATACAATAAGTACTGGAAGAACATACCTGATCTTTATTCTATTGCATTCATATTGGATTCAAGAGCTAAAATTAAGGGATTTACCAAAGTGCTTAGGAAGTTACATTCTCTTTTTAATATTGACTACACTAATAAGTTGCTGGACACCAGAGCTCTTCTGTTTAAAATGTATAACAGGTATGATGTAATGTATGGCTCTAATAGGCTGAAAAGGGTTGTTCCTCCATCCCTGTCTAGTAAGAAAAGAACAACTTAGGGCTGAAATTTATGATGATGAGGAGTTGGATGTTGGAGTTGGCTGTTCTTCTCTCCCTTTAGTCTTGATCAGTCTAGGAGTGTTTCTGTCACTTTCTTGCTGCAGGCAGCAACTGCTACTTCTAACTCTAGTGAACTTGCATCCTATCTGAACTGTGACACAGTAAGCCAGTTGGATGATGAGTTTGACATCATGCAGTAGTGGCATGAGCACAAGCTTACTTATTCAGTACTTTTTGTTCTTGCTAAAGGCATTTTGACAGTGCCTGTGTCAACTATTTCTTCAGAGTCTACTTTTAGCTTAACTGGCAGGACCATCGAGGAGCGACGGCGGAGGCTGAACCCTGAAACTGTAGAGGCGCTTACCTGCATCAAGGATTGGGAGAATGCTGAGACAAGACTGCAGCACATGGTGGAGGACAAGGAGCTGGAAGAGGCCTTTGCTGGTCTTTATCTTGATGTCGACTAGTTAACTTCCCATTTATATAATGGTTCTGTAATAACTGAGACTTAGACTTGTGGTGATGGATATAATGAACAATTAATTTAGGAGCTGACTGTACTCTTTTCCTGTTTAGGGTTTATCACAAAGGTGAGTTTTACCTAAACAGGTTTTTAATGAGGCAGCCATTGCACAGCTCCTACTTAAATTAGTTTTAGTTTCAAAAGTTTGTGTTCTTTGTTGTGTTGTGTTCTAATCTGTTTTTGATCTTTGTGAACTTAGTCATTTTAGATCTCTTTGAATTGCTATGCTGAGTTCATTGAGGGGTTTTGCCAGTTTAGTGCCTGGGCCGGCACGGGCACGCTGGGCCTGGAGTCAGCACGGCACGCTCCAGAAATGATAGTGCCGTACCTGGGCCTAGAGTCGGGCACGGTGGCACGACACGGCACGGTTCATCAGCCGTGCCCAGACGTGCCGTGCCGGGGCAGGCTAGTGCCGTGCCGGCACGTTTGGAAAACTATAGACCAGCCCACCAACGGTGGGGCCGATGACTGTCAATGGCTGTGATTATCGCGCAGAGAATAATCATGATAAATCAGTTTTTTAGTACTACATTAAAGGAAAAAACAGATTGAACCAAAACAAAAATAAAATGGTTTCCTAGCCAAGCTGGAGATTATACGTTAATGTTTATGTGACTGTGTGATGTATATTTACAGTCAAATGAACATTAGTCATGCCCATGAATTCTGAATGAATATGAATTGTTGTTACAGCATCAACAAGTTACAGAAAACTGTTACTGCACGTTAAACTCCAGGATAGCTAGCTCCTGTTTGATTTTATCCCTCTCGGTCTCACTCACCAGCATTAGCCGAGGCTAGCATAGCGTTAACATTTTTACAAATTACAATCACTCTAGTTCACCAGCCTTCACCTCGAATTCTTCCCTGGTTGAAAGTATCTTTACACGAACCATGCCTCGCTCCCACTCAGAATTTCCAACCAATATCAGCCTGCTAGCATTGATCCTCTCCGCGTGCTTAAATACCCTAGTAGTAGCAAAACAGATATTTCAGGCACGGAAACAAAAGAAAGGAAAATAATGGTAGGCATACCATTTGAGACGTTTGTCTTCTACAAGGTCAACAGATCGGCCTTTCTTCCTCAGAGACGAAGCAATACTGGATGCTGGTCCTTCAAGTTCTTCGTCCAGGGGGAAGACAATGTCGTCAATTTGACGTGACATATCAGGCAAGAGACCCTTTTCTTTCAGCAGCTGTTAGAACGCAAGTTACAACCAAATCAGTGCCACTCCATTGAAGCAATACCACAAACTCAAAATGATGCATTTTCAGCAGCTGTTGGAACGCAAATTACACACAAATCAATGCCACTCCCTTGAAGCAGTATCACAGACTCAAAATGATGTATAAACTGCAATAATACTTTTCAAGAAATTCATGTTATCAAGTAGTACTAGACTCTTATTTTCGCACTCCACATTGCACGAATTAGCATGAAAAAAGCACTTGTGATGGTTAGTGTCTTCAATTTCTTATGTTTTAGGTACATATTAACAGATGTTGCCCTTATCTGCATTAAAAATCAATCTAAAACTGAACTTATTCTTATATGAACCAGATCGCTTAATTCTACAAAGAAAAGAACCAGAGATAAGATAAAACACGCCATACTTCCACTATAACAGCATCTCCAAATCCAAAGCCACAAGCTGGTATATCTTCACTTCCAAATGTTGAGAGCAATCTATCGTACCTTCCACCACCGCAAATTGCTCTCAGTTTTCCTTCTCTATCAAATGCCTACAAAAGTGGTACAAGAGTTTCAAAACAGAAGCTGGTGGCATGAAAAAGGTAGTGTAGAATACATTTATATTAAGAAAAGGAAAAATAAAGAAATGTCAGATCAACACAACATTGAAAAAAATCCAAGTAAACTCTAGCTTAACGAAATATGCTATCTAATCAGGCAAAAGTATTAAATGGTACATCAAGTTATAACCTGCCATTCTGTACGGACTATAGTAGCTTAAGTGCTCACAATGATTCAAAGAACAGAATTCATGACATTTGACTTTAGAAAATACTGCAGAAATATCTTTTCTTCAATATGCAGGAGAGCTGAGTATCGTTATATTAAGATAAAAGGGGTAGGAACCTTATAAGTTTAAAAGTCACACACCCCCAAACCATCTAAATGCTACAGAAATATTTTGCAAATAGAATAGAGATTATAGTCTGAAAATGAATAATATCTTTTAAAATAAGCTTTCATATGCAGTTTGATGACATGGCCCATTATCTGCTTGTTAGTGGTGCTGCTGTTGATATAAGAAAGAGATGGGCTGAAAACAACCTCAAATACAATTCCTGTGTAGTATGCAAGGCCACGGACCACTGATGCATCAAAACAAATCCAATCAGCATAACCATATTGCTCCGCAAAGGAGAAGAGTTTCTTCAAGTCAGCAACAGCTTCAACACCAGAGCCTAGCACCTCTGCATAAGTATACCAAGATTAAACAAGAACCTTTGCCAAAGGGCCCTGAAGATTAAAAAAACAAACACTTATATGGATAAAGAAAGCCAAGATTGTCAGCTTAACAACAAATAAAGCACAGAGGCCCGATGTAAGAGAATATCTTTAATGAATATTCTTTTAAAAAAAGGGCGTACCCAGTGCAGAGAGCTCCCGCTCTGTGCGGGGTCTGGGGAAGGGTGTCAGTGGCAAGCCTTACCCTCGCCTGTGCAATACGAGGAGACCGCGATTCGAACCCGGGACCTTCCGGTCACAGGCGGTAAGACTCTACCGCTTGCACCAGGCCCGCCCTTCTAATTTAGGTGTCTATTATTACTTAATATTCTTTTAGGTAATACATTTTCCAATTTAGCGAATAGCAACATTACTTCAGTATAATATTCAAGTAAAGGTATAACATATGGAGCATGCATAATAACAAGCCAACAACAAAAGGTTAAGAGAAAACCTTCAAGTTTGGACAATGACTTGAGCGAAAGCACATTGATGATACCCTGGACAGCTTCAGATGACAGCCCAGTTGAAACAAGTTCCTTCTCAATTTCTTCCCTAGTCATTTTACCCAACTGCATATTGCTTATGTTAGAATGCAAGGCAGCCATTACACCAACAAAAGTAGCAATAAACAATTACATCAATGCATGTGTATTCAGCTAGTTACAGATAGTTAAGATATAACAGTGATAATCTGAGACTAGGCTTCTGTGGTAATTGTTCCATCTAATGGAGCAACATGTGCTCTTCGTAGCAAGTGCCAAACTCTTAAAAGGCAACCCAGTTTTGGAGGGGTGCTCTCTGGACTCTAGTAAGAGTTGAGATGGTTTAAAATTTGTTCACTAGATTTTTTTTTTTTTTGGTAATGGAACAAATTTCAAAATTTCAAATTTTATGGTTTAAAATTTGTTCCATTACAAAAAAAAAATAATAATAAAAAAAAAACTAGTGAAAATATGACAATCTAAAGAAGATATACAAACCGTCCTATTTCTATTTGAAGTTCAAGTTCAATGTTATGAATTACCACAATTTGTCACCTCCCAAAGCTACAAATAGAGTATAATTGGCAAGCAGATAACATGGTACTGCAACCCAAAGCTACAGAGTACAACTGGCAAGAAAATAATATGGTACAACAATCAGCAATGAATGGATGGTAAGTCAGTAGCAGAATTTGGTCATACTTTATCAACAATGACACAAACTTCAGTGAATAAATGTTCTGGGATGTAGTACATGTTCAACACAGCCTGAAGAACCTGAAAAAAAGCAAATGACAGCCAGCCAGAAATCAGAGAAAACACATGCACTAACATGTATCAAGACGTTATAATGTATTCAGGTGTCAGCAACTATGTCATTTTTAGGTAATCCAATTCCCAGAGTTCTTATTTCCTTATGAAGGTAACGAGGAAGACAAAGGACATCTGCTACCATGAAGCTGCGTGATTATGTATCATACCAATTTGGTCATAGTAGTTTAAGAGTCCGTGGTTAATACACACCAACAAAGCTTAACGATTTACTTTTGGAAGACATATGGTGAAGACAAAAGCACCAAAAACATGAAGGGGAAATGTTAAGGAAAATGTGAACTGAAGATGGATAATTGAGCATGAAAGGTTACCTTCCGACTGGACACCCTGATCCCCACATCTGAAGATGTAATTCCAAGACGTTGAAATAAGAGAACAATAGCATGAAGAAGCTCAGCCTCAGCCTGACTCGAACAATGAGATGGCAATGCCGCATCAGTTCAAAGGTATACGAGCAGTTGAGCACAGCAGCATCTGGAATCATCAATAAAGGAAAAGGGTGGTACCCGAACTTTAGGCACACCAAATATATCCATATTCCATTGGTAATGTTCCCGCCTTCTTCCTCTGGTCATGCGCTCATATCGCCAGCACTGTCCTATAGTAAACCATTTCAGTGGAAGGGAGACTGATTTTCTAGACAGAGAAGAGTAGATGAAAATCACATTCTGACAGAAAGAAGAGGCATGAATAGATTCTAGATACGTTCCAGTGATGAGAAATAGATTAGCAATGGCATGCATACCCTTGCTTTATGACTAGGCGCGCGAGGGAAGGGGTGATTTCGGGCCTGAGAACAACACGGCGACCCCCTTTATCCTCAAAGTTGTAGAGCTGCGGTGCAGAATCAAAAGCAAAGTTACAAATGACTCCAATTCAGAAACCAGAACCGGCTTATCCGCTGAATAATTATGAAGATGGGAAGACAAAAGAGTGGGGGTGGTAGACCTGCTGCGTAATCTCTTCCCCTGCCTTCCGGATGAAGAGAGCCTCCGACTCGAGGACGGGGAAATCCACCTCCTCGAAGGCCATGAGGCGGGAGACCTCCCTGAATTGGTCGAACAGCCAGGTGCGGAGCCGCATGTCCTCCGGCGGAAAGTCCCTAGTTCCGCGCGGAGGGTTGACATCGACGACGCCATCAGCGTCACCGTGCGTCGAGGCGGCGTCGCCGTGGGTCAGTGTCGAGGAGGATGCGGCGGAGGAGAAGAGACGACAGCGGCTGTGGATGTGGCGGCGCGAGAAGGAGCCTGCAGGGCAGGTGGGGCTGAGGGGCAAGCGCGGGCGGAGGAGGAGGAGGTGGCGAAGCGACGGCGGCGACGACAACGCCGCCATCGATTCGACTCGCTGGCAGATTGGGAGCAAATCTAATCAGCGCGGCAGGCGGGTGGCTCGGGTTTGCGGCGCGGCGGGCGGGTGGCTCGGCAGGCCGGCGGTTCGGGCCGGTGGCGCCCCAGACGCAAGCAGCGGAGCGGAGCTGCTGTGGATAATAAACATAATAAGTTAGACGAATCAAACTTTTTTATGTTGTCCTATATATGTTAAATTCTTAGATTTATAGAACGAAATTATTATCATTAAATAGAATATAAATATATTTTTATAATTTATTTATTTGGTGCCATAAATATTGTTGTATTTTTTTATATATTTAGTCAAGTCAATCAACTTAGAAATTAACTTATTCAGAAATGGGAGCAGTACATAGAAAAATATAATATTAATGTTTGTATCTCCAAGTAAGTTTATTACGAAAGTAAATTCTACTATCTATAGAATAATGCTTATTACATATTATTAATATTACTAGTACTTTTGTGTATTATTTTTTCAAATCTACAAAGTTTTACTTCACAATAAATCAAATATGTATTTATTTTAGAACGGAAGGAGTAATACTTTAATAATTAATATAAGTAGTTTCCCCTCTACTCTTTTGCGTTAGTTTGCTACAGGCCACACGCCATAGACATAGAGACAGGATGTAGCTCAAATCGCATGTTCCATATTTTGTTGGGTCCATTCATCGACGACTTGAACTTTGACACAATTTCATACTTACCTGTGTTCCAAACATGCACTCAAGAATTAAAATATTTTACTACATATATTTTTGTATGATGTAAATACTCCCTCAGTCTCAAGAGAGTAGGCGTAACTGTTTTTCTTGGGTGTCCTACGATACAAGGCGCTTCCTCGGCTTGCATGTAGAATTTGCTGCTGCTGGTTGTTGGACGTCTAGTACTACTCCCGTCCCGTTAGTGCACGTCAATTAGACTAGCTAAACTTATTCTAAAAAATAACTAGCTAAATTTAGAGGATATTTGGATCCAGCTATTAAAATTTAGAAGGTGTGTCGGGAGGATATTGCATGGGGTGTTCGGATACTAATAAAAAAACAAATCACATAATCCGTCAGCACTCCACGAGACGAATTTTTTAAGCCTAATTAATCCGTCATTAGCACATGTTTACTATAGCAAAGCATTGTCAAATCATGGACTAATTAGGCTCAAAAGATTCGTCTCGCAAATTAGTCGCAAACTATGTAATTAGTTTTATAATTAGTCTATATTTAATACTACATACATGTGTCAAACATCCGATGGGACATCGACTAAAATTTAGGAGGGGGCAAGCAAACACCCTCTTAGAAAGAAAACTCCATGTAGTCTAATTTTATATTCAATCATTTTTTTACCACGTTGACATCACGGCCATCGCTGACAAGGGGAACGAGGAGAAGTGATCTTGGATACACTTTTTTTTCAGAATGAATTTTTGTTTGGTCTCGAGATATATTTAGCTTATAGAAATGTATCATGTTTTTCCTTTATTGCAACGTATGAAAATATTTGCTAATCATTTTTTAAAAATGCATAGTGGTAGGCAACCTTTATACGGTTTTAAAATAAAAAATAAGAATAAAAAAATGTTTTCAATTCCTTACCCTTAAGGCTTACACCTGAACTAGAGAAATCACCAACCCACTGTCAAATTAACCCACGAATCTGCGAGCACACTTCTCCTGCAAATCCCACACTGTAAACCCTTGTATCCAAGGAATCAACACAACCACTTCCCTCACTCCTTTCAAGCTTCCTCTGGCTACTAACGGGTGCAATCCATGTGAGAAATAAACCAAAGGGGCTGAGGCTTTTACTTATGTGCCATTATAAAAGTTGGTAATTGTCGATGTTTCACCACCGATAGCCTGCCACGGGGGTATCCGGGGCAGTTTGTTCGGGCTTCAGCGTATGCAGAACTCGACGGTTAACGCAAAGGACAGTCGATTTATCCTGGTTCGGACCCTCGATCGTGATCGAGTAATAGCTCTTCGTCCAGTCGGCGTTAGCCTTTACGTTGGATTGATTGTGAAGTATTATGTCATAAAGTATTCAAAGTCCCGTCTCTAGGAACCCTGCCCTCCTTTATATAGTCAGGAGGTCAGAATCCTAGTCGGTTTACAATGAGAGTTCCTAGCAAGATTACAGAATAATACTATTACTATGATTACATAGTAAGAATCATAGTTAGACTAGATCTTCTCCCTTCCTTGCGGTATATCCCGTGGGTCCCGCATCGACAAGCCCCCGAGCACTTCATGGTTGAACTCCGGAAGCCTTGTCTTGTTCCTCCAGGTCTTACCGAGCAGGATCAAGCGTCGCCCGAGTGCTTTCTTGAGTGAAACCATGTAGCGCTTCTTGGGATCTTCGAGTGGTGTGTGCTTTTTTGAAGAAAAAATACTCCCATCTTGGTGTAGCCCCCGAGCCTCTTGCTATTTGGAACAAGGAGCTGGAGGGTCTTGTCTTGAAATTGCTCTAATTCTTCGTCGAATGGGTCCTGAGCATATATCCAGGTTCTTTATCAAAAAGAACTTAGATATAGCTAGATCCGGGTTCTTTTTGTCGTGAGGCCTTGAAGTGGTCTGACTTGAAGAAGTCTTCTTGGTGACGTGCGCTTTTTCCAAGAAAACAGTGCACTCACTGAGTGTAGCCCCCGAGCCTCTTGCTATTTAGAACAAAAAATTGGAGGGTCTTGAATCTTATGTTGTTTAAAAACTGCTGTCTTGAAGAAGCCTTCTTGTTAACGTGCACTTTTTCGAAGAAAAAAGTGCACTCACTGAGTGTAGCCCCCGAGCCTCTTGCTATTTGTAACAAAAAGTTGGAGGGTCTTGAATCTTATGTTGTTTGAAAACTGCTGTCTTGAAGAAGTCTTCTTGGTGACGTGCGCTTTTTTGAAGAAAAAAGTGCACTCACTGAGTGTAACCCCCGAGCATATATCTGGGTTCTTTTATTCAAAAAGAACTCGGATACAGGATCTTGGCATGTTCTTTGGAAATCTGATGTTGTCAGATGTAGTTGTATGGTGGTGGTTGAGAGTAAATGCTCTGAATTGTCATTCTTTTTTCTGCTGAAGTCCTAGTTGTTTATGAGATTTCCGAGTTCTTTCTATAAAAATGGGTTTTTGTGTTTCTTGTGAAGTAATCCTTCATTGCTTCATGGTTGATTAGTTCTTTTTGTAGCAATATGATAACTCCGCCGTGGTGCTGGACGGATAAGTCTGAAATCTGCCCGTTGAACTGTACCGTTGTGTAAAATTGTGCCGTCCATCATTTCAGCTGCGTCAGTCGTGGTGAGAAATGAACCGTTGCGTTCTCATGCCATGTTTAAACGGGCCTAGTGGGCCGCGTTTCTATTGCTGTAAAAATCTATTTATAGGCCTTTCTTCTTCTTTTTGTTTACTGCCCTACTTTTGTCTTGAAACCCTAGTCTTCAAAACTCCGCCGCCGCCATTGTCACCGTCATCTGGCGCCGCTGCCTGAGCATCACCGTTCCTTAGTGCTTTTATTGCTTTCGCTAGTATATGGGTAGGAAGAAATAAATCAGCGAGCAAGTCCTAGGCAGCCTTTGTAGACGAGGAGGCTTCGCTTTCTGTGATTGAAAATCAAGAATTCATGGCCATGAGGGCTGCTCAGAAGATCTGGCCGTCTCCGACTACGATTGAGGATCAGTTGCGCGAGCTTGTCAGTGATGGTCTGATCCAGGGCAATGAGTTTGCTGATTGGAAAGCTCCGGACCAGCATCGGGTCCCAACTCCAGGTTCTGATGAGATTGTTTTTTCGTCTCTTTTATCCGTGCTGGACTCTGCCTTCCCGCTTCTGCTTTTCTTCATCGATTTCTCATTTATTTTGGGATTAGCTTGAACCATCTTGCTCCCAATGTTGTCCTTCATCTTTCTGTTTTTGTTCATCTTTGTGAAACTTTCCTTGAGTTTCTCCTTCTCTTTCTCTCTTTTGTTACTTCTTTTGTCTGAAGCCACAACCCCGTCGTGATGACACCAATGTTCTTGGTGGCTGCGGGATTCAGTTTCATCAAGGTCTTAAGAGTAAATTTTTTATTATGACTTGGTTGATTCTGTGAGAGATTGGCGTGCCGATTGGTTTTATGCCGCCAATTTGATTCCTCCTCTTGCTGTTCATTCTGGTTCTAGTCCCGTGGTTAATGACCGATGGGAAAAGAACCCCCTGACGATGGATGAGCTCCAGACGATCAAGCCGTTTCTTGAGAGGATATGTACTCCGAAGCAGCAGGGCTTGACCGGCTTTGGTATCGTCTCCAGTTTTCTTCGTTGTCGTGTTCAGCCTCTGAAGGAGCGAGACAATTTTGTTTTTGAGTACTCTGGGGCTGAGGATCCTTCTCGTATGGTCCCTGCCCTTGAATTGACTGATGAGGAGGTGCTCGAGCGCCTTTAGAAGATGTTGAAAGGAGTAAGCGTCGTTCTGCATGCTGTCCTTGAGTATTGCGCTAACAACCCGCCTCCTGCTGTGAGTTGTTTTTTTACGCGGGTACTTTTTGTATTTTCTTTGTTGTCTCCACTTTTGCTTAATCTTTCTTGTCTGGTTGTTTTACTCTTTTATAAGAATTGGGGCGTAACTTCATTGATTTGATCCCCCTTGATGACTGCCCTGCCATTGTGGAGACTAGGAAGAGTCTTGCTGAGGCATCTTTAACAAGTAAGTTTCAAACCACCACGATGTTTCCTGGTGTTTCTTCCATAGTTCTTGACGTATATGTAGAATATGTTCCTCGTCCAGTTCCTCGAGGTCCTCGTAGTGTCAGAAAAAGGGGGCGAGCGGATAGATCTTCTGGTTTGTCTGCTGCCAAGAAGTCTCGCCAGTCGAGTACTCGTTTAGGTACTCTAGTTGTAGGTAGCGTGCTCCTAGGTGAGCATATTAATATGTTTTGTCTTTTTGTGGTTTGTTTGTGCCTTTAACCGAGTACTTTTCTCCTTTTTCAGATGACGCTATGGTTGCCTTGCTTGAGAGTGAGGAG